AAAAAAAATAAAGAAAAGAAAATAATAGCACTAAGTGTCATCAAATAGGATAAGATTAGTCATACTGCGCACAATGCAACGTCAACAAAGTTCATAAGCAAATCTGAAAGAACGTTCATGCTGATACTCATTGAAAACGAGATTTATTGATTCTATTTTATATCTTCATTTCACTATCTTACGTTTGACCGTTGGTATCATTAAAATTGTTACCAACAATTGCTCGTGCAGAAAGAAAAATAAACAAGTAAAGACATTACTCTCCTTGTTTTACGACAGCTTTAACAAAGAAACTTGAAGCATCCCGGTTATTTTCCAATGATAGCAGGATTACAACCTTACCGTTACAGGCGCTCAATGCGTAGATGCTAACGTCGCATTCACGGGCACGCGCGTCGGGCGCTGCTCAGAAACGTTGCTAAAGTGGATATTGAGGACAACAGATTACCAAACACTCTGGTCGAGATCTGTTTCTGCGGTCAAGTCCAGACGTGAACGGTTAGCTTGAGGTGGTTTCGCTGGTACCATCGACCAAATGCTCTGGTCCGCATCCTCTTTACCTGTGCCGATATCGACAGTCCCCATAGCAGAAACCTCTGGAGATGAAGCTGATATGTTCTGACCTGAACCATACGTACATAACGCAACATCGTGGCCTCCACACGACGATAATCTCCAAAAAGTGATATCAAGTGCAAATTCTTATTCTATAAAGTGAACTAGAAAAGAAGATGTGATACACAAAAAATTTCCATCAAGTTTGCAGCACGATTGAAGGGGATTAGAATTATTTAGGACTCTGAGATACAAACAGTGACATGATAAACTTGCACTCACCAACAGATGGACTTTTTTCTAAAAAGATGTCCTTAGGGAATCTCTTAGTTATCAACGACTCGTATGGCAGCGACTTCTCACTACCAGACAGATCGAATAAGGATTCAACAGCGCTTTCGTTCTTGTCGCTCTGAAAAAGTGTAATGCATACACATCCAAGAAAACTAAAAAAGACTCACTTGAATTTCAATTACGGAGATGTGTTTTCTAGGCGATTTGCCTTTTGCTAGAACGAAGGGAGATGCTACTGACGAAGTTGTACGTTGAATTTCTGCGCTCTGAAAAGGAACAGCAATTTACATAAAGGGGGGAGGGGGTTGCCA